ATTCCCTTTTTGTGTGGATGTAGTTTGTCCGACAGACTTGCGTCCGGCATACTTGCGGCGAATCCCGACATCACGATCAAAGTCCGATCGTACGTGTCGAAAACTTTGTACTTGAATAGTTTCTTTTCGGAACGTAAAAACTCATATTTCGTCATATCCCAACAGAAATGCTCCAAAAACCAAATTCACTTTAGGTGGACTCGAAGAGATTTTTGGCTACATCAGGAATGTTTGCCATATTGATCATCAAACTTAACCCTTTTACGAACACAAATAGAATCCGAGAAAAACTCGGATTCTATTCTGGTACTTTCTACATACGTGAGTGAATATTCCGGTCAAATTTTGGGGAATCCAAGTAAAACTCGGATTCTATTTCAATAGAGCGCCTGCCAGGCAAAGCCATTAACCCTTTTGCGAAAGTTACCTTTATGGCACTTCAAACCATGGTACATTCTACATACGAGGACCAATATTTTTTGAAAATATGCACCTTTTGAAGTGCCAAAAAGGCACTTCGAATGGGTTTTGGCCATTTGACTGGCCGGCTCGTTATTTTCATTATGTGCGCACAAAATTTATATGGTATTCATGATATATATACTTATTTTTTTTTGCTCCAAGGCTTCTCACCAACCAAAGGTGCGCCATAACCCACCCCAAAAACCAATTTTGGTTGATCCGCGTGCACTGTTACGTACAGTATAGCCCGGCACAGCACTATTACAGTAGACAACAAGCCATCCAATTGCACACCTAATCTTTTGTCAATTATTCATGATGATCATTGTTGTCCAAAATCCAAACTGCCCAAACTTCTCTGCACTATCCCTATAGAGTGGTCTCTAAGCCATTGGTTTCTTCAACCTCCCAAATAGATCTAAAAGGCACAAACACCGCAAAAGGACTCTAGGACTCCACAGTCCCACTTGGAGAACTTTGATGCGCGATTGTAGCGCGCAAACGTATCTTGTAATTGTATGAATCGATTTTTGTGTCACAAACAAAGCGAAAGCATACTCTAGAATTGACAAAAATAGTGATGTATTGGCTAACACTGCAATCTACCGACGACAGAGGAGACAGCACATAAACTGAACAGCACTCAACAATCAATAAAGTGTTTTGGAACAGCAATAAAATAATAAGCTTAAGTATTTGAAATGGGCCTAGTCCTTCTGAACAAATTCTGCGTCAGATATTGGCTGAAATGTTTTTTGAAGCTCTTTCAGGAGTTCCTTGGGCATTTTGATCCAATCATCAACCACCGCCTTTGGTGTTGGTCGCTTTTGTTTGCCCTTAATTGTTGAAACGCTTGGTCCATATATCTTTTCAGAGATATTAGAATCGTCCTCCATAATTGGACAATTTTTACAAAATTTCCCCCAATTGCCAACTTGAATAGTTCTGCACCAGGTGCTCCCATCATATGATAGCCACTTTGTGCAACATTTGCTCGTTTCACTTGTTTGTTTGTGAAACCCTCTTTGTTCTTCTCCACACTCTGCAGAGCACAGTACCCTTGCACATCATTACTATCAAGTCCACGTGCATGGTAATGAAAAATTGCTTTTGGGATATGACAAAATATGAGTTTTTACATTCCGAAAAGAAATTATTCAAGTACGAAGTTTCTGACACGTACGATTGAACTTTGATCGTGATGTCAGGGTTTGACGCAAGTATGCCGGAAACAAGTCTGTTGGACAATCTACATCCACACAAAAAGGGAATGACCCTATACAAGTGAGATATCGGTGTTGTGTACAATGCAGTAGGGAATAATACAAGATGTCGCAAAGTACTGCATTCAACACAGAATTGTCGTAGAGGTCAAATCAAGTTCTGTAAACAAGGGATTTTCCAAGGGAGAATTGTTGAACTTACTTTTGTAATTGGGTCATCAATTCAAGCCAAATATTAATCAAATAGGAACAATTTCACTCAAAGTATACCTAGACACAGGAGAACTATTGTTGTGAAAGTGTTGTACAGTCAATTACAAATTTAGATTGCAGAGAGTTTGTTCTGAGCGCTAAAGGCACTCACGATAGAGCACAGTTTGCTTTATTCTAACAATTGCTGTTACCATAGCAGGTTTGTCAACCAAAGTATAAAATCCATTGCGATGTCCAATGTAGTCTTGTTTCTGGTCACAAAGAAGCTGTTCTCTCTCTTTGTGTCCATAAATACATCAAATCCATCTTGTACCATATTCGACAAGCTGTTGATGTTGTCGCTAGCTCATGTACCAAGCTTACAAACAGAATCAAATACCTCATCAATTCCTTCTTGATAAAGTTCTCTTCCCTCCACATTAGAGGCATAATGGAATCCTCCATGAATTCCTTGTAGACTTCCTTCTTTAAAGCCATGTTCATTGGTTTGCAAATGAAAAGTAGATTCACTGTCCAAGTGGATACCAGTATTGTTTGAAAAAACATTATCCCTTGTGGTCCATAGTTCCATTGAGTATTTGAATCTCCTGATTCATTATCATCACGCGTTGCATTTCCATCATGTTGCATAGTTTGTCGATTACCACAACCATTCTTGTTTGAATAATCCCTATCTTTGTCCAGGGTTTTCCACTGTTCCCTCTGCTTCAATTTGTCCGCACATTGAGGTGCGACATGATCTTTTGATCCGCATACACGCTCAAGTTTGTTGTTGCGAACACTGAGCTCCATCATTTTTATTGTTGTTTGGCTTGTTTTGTTTGTTGGGAATTCACATGCGCGTGTAAGAATCGTGTCATCAATATGATCCATCTTCATCGTTGACATTTTGATCACCAATGTCTTCTTTACTTCATCAAAGTTAAATTTGGGAATGTTTCCTCTAGTCAGAGGATGAAACTTCTTCTCTTTTTGGCTACCATTGCCACTCTTATCTCCATTGTATTGACCATTACCTTGGCCTTGCTGCAATCTGTTTTGCCCAGCATTTCTTCCATTGCATCCACGTCCAGTATTCTGAAATCTTCCACTCATCATGAGCAAGTTCCTATCCTTTCAAGTTGTAGGAATATATCGACCCCCAATTCAATTCAGTGACTTTTATGATATATGTTAGAAGTAAGCAATCCACCGCCGCCTGAAATCTACCTGTTCAATTGACTGCGATTTAGTTGTCCAGGTATTGTTGCCTTCTAAGTATGTGAATTTACAGTATGTAGAAGTATATAGATCTATCAGAGATCCTACTTTATCAACCAATTCACTTGTTGCTTGCAATATATTGTAAAAAGTGAGAACAATCTGTCAACTTTTGACTTTGACTCTTTCTTCTCCAGCTCAGCAGCAACTCTAAGAATTCTCTCTATTCAGCCTGATATGCTGCAAGTTCAATGTGCTCATCCGTTCACCTTCCACTATAGTTGGTGCTTTGATTAGTATCCAACTTTGGTTCTTGCTTGAATCTTGATTTCTTACATCATCAACAGGATGATCTCCATAGAAAAATGATCCTATTCTGACACGCCACATGCGATATTTTTAGTCGCATCAGTCTTCATTTTTAGTTGTATCAGTCAACATCATTTCTGTAACGTTCACATGTATTCTCTTTTTCTCGTTTCTCCAAATATGTACTTTGAAAATCCTAGTATATCCAACACTTGTCTTGAGCAGCGGTATCCGTGCTAGCAATAGCAGCATACGCTTTTGTCTTGACTGCAAAATTTTGGAACAAAGCAACACCATATAGATCTTGTCTCAAGAATTGTTCCTTGAAATGCATTAAGTTTTTGGTTGTTCCTTGCTTCATCGCAAAGAACTTTTCATTGGCTTCCCAGAAATCCAAGAAGTCATACTCAGCATCAGCACTCTTCTTTATGAATCGTTCAATGCGTTTCAAGAGTTTGATTGGATCTTCAAGAGTACACTGCGGACAAAAGGTACGGGGTTTCTGGAAGATATACGGGAATGGTATGTACTCCCATCCGTTTTTTGCCGTATATTCTCCTTCGATCCTGTATCAGCAATTTGTCCGGTAAAAACTCCTGTAGCACCAAGAAAATTCGTTGTTTGTTGAGCAATCCCGTAAATACTCCCTTTCCCCTGCGTTTGATGGTAGCTTCAAAACTTGAGCAGGCATATACCTTTATACAAATCAAATATTATATGCCATACAACACGATCGTCATGATGAACTGAAAGTGGTTAGAGAATTTTACAAGCTGATTCCTTTCGTCTGTTGAGCATCTCATCATGCGGTTATATACTGCATCATACCGGTATATCCTTGGACCACACCCGGGTTTGCGCAATAATACAACAACCATCCCATCTCAATGTTTCTTTTTTCAAACCCTGTAAAGATTCCTCAACCAGAGAATTGCCCCAGCAGTAATGTCGGCATCTCAATTGCCTGGTGGTGAATGCGCAAGCATTCTTAATAGTAGCGTCAACAAGAAGAACATAGCCGAATTCACATGTCTGAATGGGTTAATCTCGACTCCTCTTGTGGAACAGTACCTGTTCCACAATTCTCAGCTTCCGCGACCCCATGTGGATAGGATGTCCCCAGAGGAGAAGAAGAATCTGAAAGCCCACGTACCAGGTGATCTCTACCATAACAGCAATGATAGAAAGGCTGTTGCTACAAAATTGAAGTCGGAGGACCCAGCTGCCGCAGCAGAAGTCAAAGCAGACCCACTCCACTACCAGGCAAGACAGATTCTATGGAATAACTCCAACTATCCTAAGAATATGATTGAAGACAAGGAGGTCGTGGCCCTGAAAATACATCTGGAGAAATTCCGTGCGAAGCTCGCCCGCGAAATTAAATTGAAGGTCGAATCGGTGCTTGTCTTGGAGTTCAACATTTTGAACCTGAAAGATGATCTGGGAAATCCACTACAAACATCCTCTCTAGACGACTTAAGGATAATGGTGACATCCAAAGAGCATGGCTCAGCGGTGAGAGAAGCCATTGAGCACCTTTTCCAATACACCCTATGGCCTGCCAAAGGTATGAGAGGTGCGAAGCACAACCATGACGTCCTTGCTAAAACTTTAAGCGAAGCTGCCAATCTCGTGTTCATCACATCGGGTAAAAGTTGCATCATCAAACAGATTGGAGACCAGCTTAGGCAAGTAAAACGTAAAGTTCTGGGCAAAACAGGAAAGAACACAAAGAAGTCACCACAATCACATGTGAGTTCCTTTTGCAACCCAAAGTCTATTTACAAGTCTCTCATTGACTGTTGACTCCATCATATAGGAACAATGTCCACCACTTGCTCCAACTACAACTAGAGCCAGCATCCCTTGGCGAACAAATAATACCTTCCTTACCCACGCCCCACCAACCCACGATCAAGCCTTCACACCCGATCCAGCTGTCAACTACCTTAAAACCTCACCTCCTTACAACGAATCGAACTTCAATGAATATCCGGAGATGATCTTGTAGGTTTCGGCACACTTGTATCTGATCATTTCTTTGCCTCTCAAGACGGCATACCTACTGGACCAAAAACCACCCCCATAGTTGCCACCTACAGCGATGACGACGACACTAATATTTTAAACGGTCCGTTTGAAACCAAAGACCTCCAAAAATCTGAATTGGCTGCATCACAAGAGCGCAATCCAAAGCAACTCTTTGAGAGGCAAGTAGCAAATTCGACACACAATAACACAACAAGAAATGTTTCTGCTGCGTCAAGAAAGGACATCAAAGCCATCGTTGCACATGGAGTTACGCAACAGAATTTGTTGGTTACAACAGCAAATGCACCCAAAACGAAGAGCCAAAAGAAGAAAATCACTAAGGGCCAACAAAAGAAAAAACTGGAAACAGCTATGTCGAAGAATGCAGATGACCCAAGGCAATCAAGAGGCCACGCAGAAGACCCTGCTCCGAGCCCTCAAGATCAAGCCGACCATCTTTACAGCGACCATCAAACAAAGGTTTCTGATTTGATGTGTTATGCATCAGGCGATCTTGGAAGGTATTCTGGTAATGTGACATTCTCCAAATTCGTTGAAATATCGGTTTGCCAAGGTTGGAAGTGCGGTTTTGGTCAGGTCCTCAAGACAAGCCTGTCTCTACACACATGTCAGCAATGCTACCTCGCCCTCGAGGAGGATTCTACCAGAATCAAGTCTGCGGTTTGGTTATGCGGCAAGTGCCAAC